GTGTGTGTGTGTGTGTGTGTGTGTGTGTGTGTGCGTGCGTGCGCATGTGCGTGCACGAGCCCGAGCCCCTCCGCATCTCGGCCAGGCGGCCTGGGTAGCTGGTGGGACAGAAGGTGCCCGGGCGTAAGACAATGGTGGAGCGTGAAATTCAATTAGTTCAGGGCTGGTTCCAATTTCACAGCCCCTAAATGCAAAAGGGACAGAGAGAATGGCAAGGGTGGGGGGCGCGTTTTTATTGCATTTTCCCTTTCATTCTGGGGGGCGTTCTCGCCCCTTCTCTCCCTCCAGCAGGCCCCAACCTGCACAGGGCTTTTCAAGGAGTCATTTGGAGTCTATATCTGTCACATCCATTTAAGGCGTTGCGGGTGGAGGGAGAGGGCGGGGTGCCAGGCACTGGCTCCTCCGAGCTCCCTCCGGCCCCGCAGGCCCACCGCCCTCTCCTCCTGCCCTAGGGGTCCCCGTGAAGGTGACCAACGTCAAAGACGGCACCACCCACCGCACGTCCCTGGAGCTCTTCACGTACCTGAATGAAGTCGCGTGAGTGCCCGCAGCCTTTCCCGGCCTCCTGGGAGACCACCATCTCGGGCAAGCCCTGGCACAGGCCGTTGTGGCTGATGGTCACGGCCTGGGGCTTCGGGGCCAAGGGGGATGCGCCTGGGTCCTGCTGGCGGCCGTTGGCACAGCCCGTAGGCAGGGGGGTCTCCTGGTTTGAGCTTCTGAGCCCTCCGTCCGACCCGAGACCGGGACAGAAGGAAAGATGAGCAGGGGGTAGGGCTGGTGCCAAGCAAGGCCTCAGGACGGAGGTAACAGGTGGCAAACTCAACTGCGTGACCCGGGCGATCCTTTCCACCCTCGGGGTCTCAGTTTCCCCACCTGTGCAATGGGCGGTTGAAGCAGGTGACTTGGCTCAGATGTCCTTTGAGTCTTGGATCCTGCGATGGTGCCGGGCACCCCCCCCCATGTGGCTCTGTGGCTCTGGCGCCCCTCAGCTGAGAGCCCAGCCAAGAGGGCGGCCTCCGACTCGCATCCTCGCGGCGGCATCTGGTTTTCAAGAACCCGCTCTCCCCACAGGGGCAAGCACGGCGTGGGCCGCATCGACATCGTGGAGAACCGCTTCATCGGGATGAAGTCCCGAGGTGAGTCTGCTCTCCGCCCTCGGGGGCACGTCTCAGCTCCCAGAGACTCCAGAAGCCCCCCCAAATCGCCATCCCATCGGGGCGTCGGGGCAGGTTCCCTCCCCCCGCCAGACTCCGTTTCTCCCCTGTGAAGCGGGGATAGCGGGCCGTGTGTCCCTGACTCCCAAGGGCATCATGAGAGGCACTGTCCCAAGAGTGAGGAGGAAGCTGGGGGTCCAGGAGGGGCTCAGAGGCGAGGGGAGGCCAGGGACGGGCCTGGAAGCCAGGCTCTCCTGTGCCCTGGGTGGGTCGGCCAGGTCTGGAGGCAGACCATGCAGGGCCGATTTCACAGTCATTAAGGCTTCTTTGAGGAGGCCGCCAGCCCAGCAGGGCAGGAATCCTGCCAGGGGTGGGCGCTATGGGCTGCGCTGGTCATGCGAGGGGGGCCTGCGCCTGGGTTTGGGGCAGCTGACTCGTCGGCTAGGTGGCCGTAGCTGCCTTTGGCTGGCCCAGGAGTGGAGAGAGGTTGGTCCCAACCAAGCAGGTGCCTGTATCTTCTCTTTAGTAAGCAGAGCCCTGTGATCTTCCGGCCATCGCTCACAGGGGCATCAGACCAATCAGTCCCCAGGCCACACCCTCCCCTCCGGGACTCAGTTGCCCCATACAAGGGGATGTCAAATCCTCGCAGGTCTGGGTCTGTCAGCATATGATATAAAGCAATGCTGCCTCCTTAGGGAACTTTAAGAGGGAGAGGGAAATCTTGCAGCAGTGAGAGCCCCCAAATCGAGCCCCTGATTTTTTAAATACTGGTGGTGAGCTTGGGGGGGGTCCCCTGTTTTGACAGATGTTCAGCTTGCTTTGCTTAGGTTCGATTTATTTTATGTTATTTTTTATTAAAAACAATTTTTTTTAATCTTTATTTTTGAGAGACAGAGTGTGAGCAGGGGAGGGGCAGAGAGAGAGTGGGACACAGAATGTGAAGCAGGCTCCAGGCTCCGAGCTGTCAGCACAGAGCTGGACGCGGGGCTCGAACTCACAAACTGTAAGATCATGACCTGAGCCGGTCGGACGCTCAACCGACTGAGCCACGCAGGCGCCCCGTATTTTATGTTATTTTTAAAAGTTCATTTACTTATTTTGAGAGAGGGAGCACGAGCAAGAACACGCGTGCGAGATGGGAGGGGCAGACAGAGGGGGAGAGAGAGAAAATCCCAAGCAGGCCCCACACTGCTATCGCAGGGGTGGGGGACGTGGGGCTCGAACCCACAAACCATGAGATCATGCATGCCCTGAGCAGAAACCAAGAGTCAGATGCTTAACCGACTGAGTCACCCAGGCGCCCCTTCTTCGGGCCAATTTAAAAAGATAACACAAGCCAAAGGCAGCCAGGCCAAGGGATAGTCACGGCGCTTTGTCCTTTAGGACATTTTTACTAAGATTCTCAGATGCAGAGAGCTGATGGCCAGATTTCAGCTGTCAGAACAGCGTGCTGGGCCGGGAGGCAGGGTGTGGGAGCTGTCACTCAGGCTCGCCCAGGCTTGCCCGGTGACCTCTGACTTGTCAGCTCGGGGCCCCGGTTGGCCCACGTGTGACGTGGTAGGCACGGGGGTGGAGGTCGGATCTTTTTGCCTGTGACCTGTTTGGATGTGTCTCCAAAGGTGCGGGGAGGAGGGAGGCAAAGTGACTGCTTAGCGTCTTTCCCATGATTTTTTTTTTTTCCCCTCCTGGACGCAGCTACTATCTTCCAGAAGCAACCTAATTGAAACTCTCAGGGAAGGCCTTGTCAGAACAATGTTACTAATTAGCTGCTACCTTTTATCTTCACGTACCTTTGTCTCTTACCTGTATTAACGTCTAATTAAATGTCCCTTTGTCTCTGTCTGCCCTTGGGAGACAGCACAATGTAAAATCGTGCGAGGCAGATCTAGGCGGACCTGGGGGAGCCACAGATCCGCAACCTTCATTGGACAGAAGGGCAAACCAAGGCCAGGATGGATGCCCAGACCCAGAGAGGAGTGGGGCTGAGGCCAAGAGCTGAAACTCGGGGGTGGGGCACACCCAGGTTCCGGCCGTGTTGGATAGTGGGATCAGGTGCCCCACAAATGACAGCAGCCACAGAGGCATGCTGGAAGGTCACAGGTGGCCTGTTAGGTCTGAGGGGGAGCGGAGCCCCTGGAACCTGACGGAGGCACATTGGAGGGCTGGGCTTCGCTAGAAGACGTGAGTCCCTGTCTCAGCTCCGTCACCACTGGGAAAGCGACTTGGCCTCTCCGGGTACTCTGCGTGTACCTGTGGGGAGCCGTCCCGAAAGGCACAGAATCGAGCCCGAGAGCTGTAGGGCCTTTGGAGCAGACAGTCGACATTCGGCTCCCAAGAGCTTGCTGTGTGACCTTAGCAAGTGGCTTTCCCGCTCTGTGGCCCCAGCTGTCGAAGGTGGGGCCGGCCTGGGTGGTCTTACCCCTTGGAAGTTGTAATTTGCCTGTTTTCTTACTTGGATCAGAGGGGGTGAGAGAAGACAGCTGCTTCGCGATTTCTCGGGCGGTGTTCTGTTTTTACGTCTCCACTCTGAGTAATTCGTCGGGAGGATGAGCGAGCAGGGGGGGGAGTAAATGAGGGTGCTGGGGATGTCCACACGACAAGGTCTTTATTAAGTCTACCGTAATGGGAGAAGCTGTTAATTGTCAACGATATTGAGGGCAGAACAGGAAGACGCTATTGTCCGTCGCTCCGTGTACAGGGGGAAAATGTCGTTTGTATTGATTTTACAAAGCTCATAATTGAAATTCGTTAAAGGGCTTGGTTTCTTTTTTTGGGGGGGTGGGGGGGTGGGAGTTGGGTAGGGAGCTGGGCAGTGCCACTGCCCTGAGCCTGGGGTGGTCATGGGGTCAGAGGGGCGGGGGACTGGGGAGGCTGCAGACGGAAGTGCTTTTGCTGTATTGTGGCTGTTCACGTTGTCATTATCACATTATCTTTTTAACTCTGGAGGGGGGCTAATTAAGTGAAGTAAATGAAATCAGTGGGGAGGAGAAGGGGGGCAGGGCAGGCAGGAGGGGAGCGGGGAAGGCGCCAGCTCCTGTCCTTCCGCTCACCTTCTCCTCCAGCCACCTCGGCCCAGCCCTGTCCCTCCCCGGCTCACTTCTGCCTGCTGCTGCCTCTTCCCCCTGCGGACTCCCTCCCTCTCCTCCTCATTGCCTGCTTCTCCTCTTCCCTCCCCTGTCCCTGTCTCCTCCACCCTTTCCATCTCTCTCCCACTCTCCCCTCCTGTCTCACTTCCTCCCGATTCCTCCACTTTCTGGCTAAGAAAACCCAAGGGCTGCCCGCCCACTTACCCACCTGCCTGCCCACCTGTCCAGGCCTCCCAGAGGCTCCGCTCAGATGGAATGTTCCAGATGGAGAGGAGAGAGAGAGAGAGAGAGAGAGTTATGCAACAAAGATGTCTGTACCCTCAGAGGCCCACACTGCTCACCAGGCTGGGGTTCGCAGGGCACCAGGAGCACAGAGGACGGCTGGAGACCCACCATGATTTGCCTCCCCATTAC